GTGGAATTTACAATGCGGAGGTTGAGCACATTGCGGCTAGATTATTGAACGGTTCAGTGTGTAGAAAACCGTTAATAAAATAATGCTTGGACAAATGTTAACCCCCCCCCCCCCATTATGTTCTGCTTCGCAAGTGGGATATTCATTGCAGAATGTATCCCTATGTTTGACGGTTTTCTTTATTTTCCTGCATATATTACAATACCATAATTATTCATAATTTAAAGCCTGTACCGACGATGAAGAAACACGTGATCTTGGCAAAATGTGACAGGTCTGAAAGTACTTATTTATAGCACATATAGCCATTTTACAACTGACACCCTTTCGGCAATGAACACAGACTCCACGATATAAACATTAACAAAATCTTTCTTGGCAGTATTGGATACCAAGGAGTGACGGCTAGGGAGTAAAAATGAGGTTAAGGTTGGCCTATATGTTAGGATTTAGAGGCATTTCATTACTCTCCTTTTGCCCATGTGAGCACCATGCATTATAAATGAATTGTGGAATCACACAAGTATGGATTTCAAATGACAGACAGTATATAGGCCAAGTAATAAAACAAGCTCGATCGGAACTCGAAGCTGCGGGCCAATGAATGTGTGTTCACCTTATTTTGACCTTTGACCCCCATAGCTGTAGGTCACATGAAGAGGTCACCACAGACATTTGTTAATGTTTGATGAAGGCCAACATGTGGACGGCGCTATTTTTGTCATTTGAGCTTATTTGAGCTTCTTTTTGAGCTTATTTGAAATTGGACAGTATTTTGACCTTGACCCCATGATGACCTTTGACCGCAGTTTAGTCATGTGAAATGTTGGGGATGGGCTACTGGTACTTTCGACAATTTTGGTTCAAATCGGTCAAAATAATTATATAGGAGCAATAGAGAATGTGTATGTTTGTTACTTACTAACCAACTAACTAACCTGCGGACTAACGGAGAGACACTTGTTAGTTGTAGAGCTGCTATCTGCAGCTAAAATTTGACTTTAAAACAGTGAAACTTGCACCGGCTAACTAAGACTGCTTCGTGCAAGGGAACAATGGGAGTGATTGTCCAGTCGAATCTGACAAATGTCTGGTTATATCAGTCTCTTGGAAATATCGAGACGGATAATTTTTTATATAAATGGAGTTACAACGAATCTTCAGAGAGCTGTAGTCGAGTACATTTCCATGAGTACGAGTACGACTACTTTGCCATGAGTGCGCTTACGAGTACGGGTACTTTATCATGAGTACGATTACGATTAGGCCTACGGGTATTTTACCATGAGTACGAGAACGAGTACGAGTGCAAGGCATTTCCCCCTTGAGTACGGGTACGTTTCCACGAGTACGAGTGTGAGTACGAGTAGTTTGCCATGAGTACGAGCACATTTCATGTTCTCGAGGGATGTTTGCTGTCAAACTAGGCATTAGACAAATGCAAAATCCTTCAAACAGTAGAAAAAATTGATTCTTTTCCCTGCATGTACCTCTTCAAAAAATATATATTCCAGTACGAGTACTTTGTCGTGAGAACGAGTACGAGTACGGGTATTTCTTTCCTGCGAGTATGAGTACAAGTACATTCTCATGAGAACGAGTACGAGTACGGAAAAAATGTACTCGAGTACGAGTACGAATAGGCCTTCTATACAACACTGAATCTTTATAATGCAATCGTCTGCATGTCCTTTAACAATTTGCAAGCAAACCACGGAGGATTGATATTGGCCTAGTGTTGGAAATTCCCCGCGTAACATTGAGATTTCGCAAAGTGAAATTGCTCTCTCGATTGTTTTGGATGTATTTCCTTTACATTTTTATGAAATAATCACACGAATGAAATAAGAACTTATAAAAAAAATAACTTTCATTTTATGAACAGCAACCGTTAACATTTAGCACACGCATAATGTGCGTGCTGTGATTTATTTCGCTTTCAATGTCCTTGTGCCTTGGTCACGTGCTTTGTGATTATCAAAGCTCTCAAAATAATATACAACTTACTTATTTATTGCAATAAAAAAAAATAATAATAATGACCGCTTAAAGTTTATTGTATTACAAAAGAAGTATGCCAAATAAATTAAAATGACTCAGTGTGCCCTCTTACACGTCCGTTCCATTCAAAACAGTTTTGCAGTGGAAACAAGCAAATAGGCTACATATAATTTGTTTATAACATTTTTCAAACATTACATATCATTTGCCCTTCGACCACGCATTAAATTACATATAAATAATTTTAACAGCTGAGTATAATGAGTGATACATATGTATATAAATAAAGCATTCCTCTAAAATTAAATAAGTATGTTTTTAACACATTATTAATATTTTGAATAAAATAATTTATTTTGAATAACATTACAGATAATTAATATATAGTTAAATTCAAAACCATCACACCCCGTCACACTGTTGCGGAGGGTCAACAAACAGCGTGCAGATACAACGCAGGATGTGAAACCAACGCAAATCCCATAACGATAACAGCTTGGCAGTCTATGTACCCATCCGCTTAAGAATCGCATGTTCAAAATTGTTTGTCAAAATGTCAGATGACGAAACGCAATGTAGGCCTACCCGCCGTTCGTTTGATCATAATGATGTTACATGTTCTTCATAGTGTCTTCAACAATATCTAGTATTATTTCGATTCACTTTAAACATTCTGTGATAAATAATTAATATTTTATTTGCAATTGATGTTTTCCCATTCCAATTTGTTTTAGATTGAATTGGTAGACGACAATGACGAGCGTATACACAGACATGTTCTGTTCATGTATAGTGCCGTGCACTGAAATGCATGTACATGTATCTCATGACTATCTCATAATTCCAGTAATTATTATTATTACGGGAAATAGTACCTTAGTGGACATTCCCATAGGGTTGTGCACGATTTTTTTTCCCAACTTAATGACCCGTAACCCCATTTTTCCGTATCCTACTGCCACGAATTTTGGTATATTTATGTTTTGTGTACCACGTGCGAGCAATCTATATGTAGCCTATTTGTGACGGTAAATTTTTGCAACTAAATAGTTGTGACATCAATGTCTCCCTAATGTCCGGTGTCTCCCTAAGGTATAACTTATGAAGAACAAATGTCTCCTTAAGGGTACATTGACAGGAATTGCCCAAAACTCATGTAACACAAAGCAGTTTAATTCAGTTGAATAAAACGGTCAAGCTGAAAAGAAAAAACAATTATCATCATGGGGGACATGACGTTTAATCAGAGATGTATTATAGCCGATTTCAGTTGACAAGCGCTGTCCTCTCCATGGTATTAATTTGGACATCTAGGCCTAGATATGTAACTTATGCGTCAAAGCTTATAACATTACAAGTATCTAGCGCAATGGTTTGATCCGAAGTGCTTCGATGGGAAGTCCAAGGAGTATGGTAATGGGTAAAGGACGAAGTACCATCCTGAGTGCAAAGACCAATCCCAGCTAACACTGTGTACACACTCACTGATGAGGCCCCCTTCAATGGCGAAAGTACTGTATCAGCAATTTTACAAAGCAACTGCCCCATGACGGATTAGCTGAACAATAGCCGGCACATCGATGTCGCCATTGTAGGGGGCTCTGTCATATAGCGTGCTCGACATGGTCTATACTGAAATAAAATTTAAGGAGTACATAGAAAGAAAAAAACTTTAAGGAGTACTGACGATGAAAAAAAGAAGTACCATCCTGACTGTATACAGGGTGAGTCAGAATGATCTGAACCCAGGTTCACCATTTTTTGTTGCAAATATATAACTGAGTGTTTCGTATGAATGGTTATTACCTTGTCTTCAACATCAGTTTTGCGTTTTTCAAATTAGTGGCTGTGGTGAGGAGTTATGCCATATTCATTGAAGTGGCTCATTTTTCCAGTCTGCACACGGAATTGGTTTTGCCTTTTCTAAATGTGTCAATAACTTCAAGTGAGTCAGTCACCACACTGCTTCACATCAGTACGCGATTTCGATAAATTTGTTGAACCATGGAAACGTGGTCAGAGTGTTTTTTAGCATGTGTTCTTAACTTCTTTGCTAGCGCTTTTCTTCAAAATGGTACTTTAGATACACAAGAAACTTTTACCAAATATGTCCAAAATACCAGCCTATAACATATCTCATTTGCACTTGTTTTGATAATTGCTACATCTTTTTAATATTTTCTTTAATTTAGGTCCAGATCATTCGGACTCACCCTGTACTGAAATGAAATTTCACTGAAAGGTATAAAATAATTTGCCTCAAAGAAATATGTATATCCCTTATAATTTCCATGAACTCCAAAGTGTTTAAAAGGGGAAACAAGGAATTGAGACATGCCTAGAAGGTCAAGATTTCAAAACTCTTTGGTCGTCTAGATACCCGTCTACCCGCGCCATCTTGGGAAATGTATGCGCGCCTGTCGTGGTTCATTAATCACACGATCTCACCCCGACTGTCAAGCTAATAACCATTATCCTACCCGGCAACTGCGTCCATCGCTTGGCAGGTCCGCTGTTATCTCGAAAGATGATGAGTGGTCAGTGATGACATTTAATATATTATTTACATTGTGGTAGACTTCTCTCAAGTAAACTATTTTATGGCATGTTGGAAGCGCGGCATCATAGCACACCACGTGGTGTTCTGGCAAAATGTGACGGAACTGGGCACAGGTCGTAGTGGAGAAAAATGCCCCAAACTGATTGGGGAGGATTTTTCTTTTCCATTTTCAGATTTAATCACCTTTGTAATAATTGATATGTCCACGACACATGTTCAAGATACAGTATAAAATAAGTGGACTACAAGTGTTTTAAAGGAAAATAATTTGCATCTTTCATTTTTACGAATACAAAACAACATAACTTGAAAATTGCCTTTTTTCTCAGTATTTTACTTTTTGGACATGTCGATAAATGCAAACTTTAAACACCCATAACTTGTCAACGGAATTTCCGATTGAAGTGCAACAAACAGTACAGTACGGGGAACTTTATTCTCTTTCCTATATCCGCAAACCCTCATTTCGACCTCTGCCCAGTTCTGTCTCTTTTTGCCATGTGACCTACGTTTATACTTAGTGCTTTACGTTTGTTAGGTAGGCCTATTCCAATTCTGACAGATTCGGAAATATATATATAAATATACAACCAGGTCCAATGTTGGCTTTGTAGGTTTTACAAGACAGTCGGTTGTGTTGTTTGTTTGTTTGTTTTTTATGGAAATTTTACGATTCAAGAAAATAGTGTTTATGTCATAAAGAATGAATATGTACAGTTAATGCACTCAATTGTTAAACGTGTCATTTACAAAACCGACGCCCGTGCGTGGTTTAACTACAGTATGTACGTGAACAATCTGGCAGTATGCAACACGAAGGCAGATATTCACATTATTGTTTGCCTAAGACAAAATATCTGATTTCAAATTATAGCTTATATGATCATGGTAAACAAATTGTAATCTTTAAACTTAAAGCTCATGAGTTTAAAAATAAAAAATATCATATTTAAAATGTACAGATTCCTTACTTGTTTATCTCTTGTTCCGAGTTACTAGTTTTACTTTCAAGAATTACTACTAAAATCTAGTTTTACCAATAACATGACACCTTGCTATGGTAGTTACAACGGTATATCTGATTGACAACAAAGCGAAGAAACACTTTCATCTTTGCATTGATAATTTTGACAACATTTACGGCAATTTGTAATTGTCATACTGATTCTACGACTAGGGGTGAGACTGGCATGATTCGTCGTTCCCCAGAATGATGCGAGTGGGTCGGGGACAAGACGTCGCTCCCTACGGTCGCTTCGTCAGCTGACCACGCGTCACTAGACGCGTCGATGTGCACCATCGCGTAGGTTGTCCACGTGTTGATGTCCCGGTTGTAGTCGGCTTGGAAATCAGTAGTCGACTGCGCGTCGTCACTACACGAGGTCTGCGACTCGCTGTTGGCCTTGCTGTCCCGCAGTCTGGCCGACAAGCTATGGGCTGGTGACGGGAAGGACAAGGACCGCTGGTCCCAGCCTAGGATGTCGTGTCGCGGACTCGAGCACCAGGAGTCGCCGCAGCAACCGCCGCGGCGGGGACTCCCGTCGTCTCCGGAGACGCAGGCGTCTGAGTCATTCTGGGATGCCGGCCCGGAACAAGACTTACTCCCATGGGAGTGCGGGCAGAACTCGTTCCGGCACTTTTGGGGTGAGCTCGAAAAGGCACATTTGGTACCATTCAGGCCGTTACGGACTGCCACAAACTGCGACAGCGACTTGCAGGGACTGCACATGCGCGGCAAGACGACGCCATTTTCGCAGCTTTTGACGACACACGCGGCTTTCTTCACGATACGCTTACTTTTCTTAGTCTCCCTCTCGTTGACTTGTTTCGTTTGCTCGTCATCCAAGTACGTCGAGACCCGCTCGATTTGGTTCAGTACTCCCTTCAGCTCCCTGACCACAGTATTCAGCTCTGATATCACCTTTTCCAGGTCGGTAATGACCACTCCGATCTGCTGTTTGACGAGATGTTTACGGCGTTTGTTTTTCATCGCCATGGCTTCCCTCACACATCTGCAGAGCCCAACCTCCGTCAAAATATAACTGGATTTGCGATTTCACAATTCACCGAGCATCTCATGGTTCACGGCGCTCAAAATATGATTTCACTGCACACATCGGCACGTTTTTGATAGAGTGAAAATGGCAATAGAGTCCCACTGATTGAAGCTAGCTCCAAGATGGCGCTGGGTAATTCTAGTGTGGATTGCAAAACGAACAAACCGTAAAATGTCAGCGGTACATGCGGAAGTGAGCATACCGTGAAAATCCAACTGCAAACTGTGTTTCTCCTATCTAACGACACTGAATGTCCTGTCCGGTAAATGAAAAGCTTGCATCAAACAATTAAACAGGCGAATCGCAGCTGTGCACTAACATATATGAGAACAAAAAAAGGATGGCTGACGAAACGAGCGCCGTTCGGTGAAGAATGATTCTTTGGAGAGATATCGAGGGAAGAAGAGCCAGCTAGTCATGGGGGTGAACTTGCCGCTGGGCCTCGACGAGTATGGCTTTGCATAGATTAGACACCGGAGAAATCAGAGAGAAGCTAAAGGAGACGTTGATCCGAGATGAAGGAATCCTAGGAGATCAGCGAGTATTGATGACAACCTGGGAGATGTGTCAGAGGGGGATGTTTTGGCACGGTACGCAGACGGCTTGGCCGTCAAAAAACAACACGGTGTATAGTAGGCCCACGCATGGGACCGTAATAATGCACTCGGGTGATGATTAAAATGCACCTCTGAATTTATATATTTCTCTCCTCTCTAGCGTCGCTATCTGATTCCCGATATATGCACCTTTTAAAGAAATGCCTGGTTACACTTTTGGCGGCATGTTGTCAAAATAAAGCTTTGTTTTTCCTCTGTGAATTCAACACAATCTCCGGGCCATTAATAACACTCTAAACCATTCGTCCCGGCCGATGTGCAGTTGATAACTTGACAACTAAGTCATTACTTCTTCTCGGCGTAGTTATATTGAATGGCCACCTTTACACAGTCGAGAAAAAAGCACCGACGAGAAGATTAAAATGTTCCCTCCAATCCGTTGGAGAAAGTCTCCCTGTAGTGTCTTCCGCCTGCGCTGACATCCGTATCAGAACATCAGGGCATTATTGTACCGCGGGCATCTGGAGTGATCACCGAATTATAAACCCAGCTAACCTGCACGGATCCACCGCCAATGCGTCCGTCATCCGCTGAAAGCATGCCCGGACTACCTGCAATACGCAGGCGCACATAATCGATGATAATTGGTTCCCTTGAAGCTGTTGGGCGCATCCATTTTTTTCCCTTACTCCGCGGTAACTCAATTTGGTGTCGTCTGCCGTGCGTTGTTGATTGCTATCTGCTTCGATGTGGCCTCCAACCAGTCCGATTGGTATCAGACCTAAAAGAAAAAAAGAGCGGAAAGAGAAAAACTGTGTGAAATTATCGCGACGAATCAAACTTTTATTGAATTGTCCATCTTTTTGTGTTAAAAATCTAAGCTGAAGTTGGAACCGTCCACTCATTCAGCGACTATTGTACATTTTGAATTTTACACGTTCGCTGAAGTCCGTCTGGCAATGAAAGGTGGATAAATATTCTGACAACATCCTGAAACGAAAGATTATGAAAACGTTTAAGCAAGTCTCGTTTTTAAAGGTTTTTTTTTCAAAATGTTGCCCGTCGTAATAATCAAAACGCATTCTCATTGCAATTTACAAAACAAATGCAGCAATGCCATCACGTGTGCAGCTCTTCCGTAATGTTTTCAGTGAAACGTTTGGTGTCACTTTTGGCGCCATCCCTTCATCACATTTTCTTCATACAACTCCGGGCCGGGTGCGCCATTATCGTCGAAACGTCGAGTAGTTTGTAGCGTTTGTAATACCAAACCTTTTCAAAACAAAAATATCAAATACATCGACAACACATGACTTAAATTGCATACAAAACAAGATCTATAGCGCCGTAGAAGGGGGAACGCGCGGGAAAGAGAGAAAGACTGAGGAAGAAAAAAATGCCAAGAGGAAAGACAACACTTTTGGAATTCAAGACCTCACTCGAGGTAGCACGCGTCCGTGACCGCATGGGCACCGCGCGACACCCTACGCCGAGCGGGCACGGTCAAGCCCTAGTGGAGGGTCCTCAGTAAGTGACCGGAGAAATAGATCCCGTGCCGTAAATCTGGAAGGAAAAACCTACATCGACTGCCTTGATGTTCCTACATGCACTGTCATCAACCCAAGCCGGGTCTTAGCACTTTTTTCCCTCGTCTTCAGACCCATTACACTGATGAAACTTAAGAAATTGAAAGGAAGCATCTTATATATTGAGAACAAGCAAACTCACTTTGGATACGGAATGGGAGTCAGTTTGTGGTCGTGGGAATCAATAAAAGTCATTTTGGAAAAGACGCTATCGCACCTCAGCACGTCTGATTTTGATAAGAAGATAAATTCAAGCTGTCACTACCTATCAACCAAGGGCTTATACATATTTATTTTTGGTTTCTTCGATTTGTTGCAAGAGTCTGCTGTGAAAACAAATCTGAGCGAAAACTGATACGTCCGGGTATAGTGTACGTTCTTTTTTTCCCGTGCCTAGCGCCTTTGCGTTCCCGCAAATGTTCTATAATTTGCTTGATACTCGTATAAACAGCCAAATGATTGACCATAACGACAGTCACGGGTTGGCTCAAACGACACTTTACATCTGGTATAATGTGACAGTTTTTAAACCATTGAACTGGTTTGGTATCTATGTTTTCATAAAATAAGTTATAGATTTGCCATGCATTTAGTTTAAGGCCAAATACCAAGATATTCCTTGGTGAATATCTTTATGGTTTCACTACATTTAGTAGCCTCATCTTGTTGCAAACGGGAGTCAAAAGTCAAAACAATCAATTCATTTACGTCAGTACAATTTTCTCTGCAGTATTTCGAAGCGAATATGTTAAAATACTACACTGAGAAAATTACTTATTCCAAAGCAGGACATGCATTTCCGCCTTAATTCAATATTTTTTTTATGTTTACGAATAAAACATTGATTCAGTTGTTTATGTCTAATGCATCGGCATTTACCACGAATTACAATTCAGACAAATAAGATACAGGAGATTATACCTGGTCTACACTAACAAATTAACCATTATGGCGTGATTCAACCGAGGCACAAAACATCCTGACTTCAATCGCATTGCCGATAATTATTCCCCGGGCTTCGATCCAGCTGCATCTTCGGGCAGCATGGGAGCTTGGCAAGCAGCTCGGCAAGAAAGCCACCGGAATGCACTCGGACCAGAATTAATTTGTCTAATGGGCCACTGGGCCGACATCTTCTTCCGATGGATAGACACTTGCAGTGATTTCAGTCCGGATCTATGCGGAGGAATTAAGCACGAGACAATGTTTAACACAGGGTCCCCGGTGCCTCGCATGCGATCACCTTGCGAGATAAATCGACAGAGATGGGCCTTGAATGTCTATCATCAAACGGTCATGTAGGGGGACGCGCTGGTCAACGCACTTGATCCACCCGGGGCCGGGGAAAAAATTGACGCGCAAAGTGCACGCCACACGTGCCAACCCCATACGTCTTTGGTTTCAATTCTCGGCGGACCTTTACTCCGATCCTGTACAAATTTCAGAGCCCGCGTAATCAACATTTCTTCTCCCCGAAAGCAAGTGATCTGAACAACCAAACCGGGCAAGATATTGAAAGATCCCAGGCAAACCAGAGGGCCGGGCAAGTACAAGTAGGTTCGGCCCCCGAGGCAAACTCACGCCACTCGTGCAGGCACGAGAGCGGGGCCTGAGAGCTCGACTCATGAGCCTCCATACGTCCCAGTTGCTGGGCTCCGAGTGGCCTCGATTGAATCCGGAAATTGCCCTGCGTGCGTGCTTCTGGGTAAAATTCAAGTCTTTCTGACCTCGTTTCCTTCCGTCTGCGGAAGACGAGAAGTTGTTATCCTTTGTACAAAGGCCTCCTTAAGTCACCTTCGATTTGAGTCAGTTGAGGTTCGCCATAATTCAATTCAAGCCGCATTTTATCTTTAATACAAGGTCTTTATATCCTTAACCCATTTTACAAGATTGGCAAATTTCTTCTGTCAAACACATCTTCTGGCAGATATTGACTAGACGTATCCTAAACAACGTGCGCCATACCTCGATACTAGCCTGTGAACATCTGCAACCACTATTAATTTTTTTTTACTCAAAAATAGTTTTCACACTTTAGTCCTTCCCATATTTAATTCTCGAACTACTTTTTAAAAATTCTTACTCACGTTCAATATTTCCCACTCGATGATTATAGTGGAATGGCAACTGATATTTTTTTAAATATTAATAAATTCCTGACTTTAGAAACTTTGATTCTACTAAAACGGAACTCGTTGCATCAAGTACAAGAATAAAGAAGTCATAATTTGGAATAATTATTTTGAAGTTTGTTATTCGACACATCCAAACTAGCCACTGTTTTAACACAAGTGTTTGAATTGACATATACATGTACTGTATGAAGAAGATCTTGAAAAAGAACCCAACAAGTTATGTGGTGTTGACCAAGCATGGAGGTGTTGGACTTAGGAATACAACTTAATGAACCTATAACCGAATCATCCTTCCGATATAGGACTCTTCTGGGATCTCGGGTTTCCCGGTCCACCGCACCTCCTTCCCTGTCCATGGCCGAAGGTCAAACACCATCAAAGGGAGGAAATGAGGCACCCTTAAAGCCTTGGTTGCCGAGTTTAGCTAAATGAGCCCCGTACCTTTACGAAGATGCTGGACTCCGCTGATGGTCCCAACTGTTGAGCAAGGCTATGCCGCTAAGTTCATGTTGGTATTTTACGACAGTAAATTAAATCTCTTAAAGTTAATGTCTAGGCCGCGTGCGTTGAAGGCACAAAAAAGGCACAAAGGGGAATCGAGCCCGTGCCCCGTGATCGGCGGATAACGAACCTAACCACTCGGCTATCTGGCTACCCTTGTAATTCTCTTTTTACCAATGTGTCTTAATAGACGGAAACACTTGGAGGATTGTTAGCTCCAACTGAATTACATCCATGCATGTCCGAAATGGAGACTGCATTTTGAGGAATGGGCCCATGCGATTGATTGGTCTGGACAATTCATTGCCATGTTTTAAACAGCCGTAACGGTACGCAACAATTATCACTATATACAGGGTGCCCCCCCCCCAAAAAAAAAAAACGGAACGGAACGGCATACTTCCGCTACCTTGAGACTCAAACCACCTGTACCAATTGATGGAGAATCCTTTTAGAAGAAATATGATACCAATATCTCCCGATTCGGTCTAGTAGTTTTTGCTGCAAAGCCTATTAGTGGGAATTATTACATAACAATCAGTACCTCTATCCACTTAAGTCAAATTCGCGGGCGCGGTTTGGTATCATGTTTCTTTTAACAGAATTCTCCATGCATTGGTACAGGTTGTTTAAGTTTCAGTGTAGCGGAAGTGCGCTGTTCCGTTGTGGGTTTTTTTTTGGGGGGGGGGGGGGGGAGGGACCGCCCTGTATAGGTATAGCCCACTACGAGACGTTTCCCACGACTACGCGTGTAAGGACCCCGTAAACAAGGTTACTATGCAAATTATCTATCAGCTTGGCGGTGGTAAAATCAACCCACGTTTAATTTCACTTTACATCCAGCAAGCACGGAAAAGGTTGCCCATCCCGAAGCAACACCTCCTTGGTTTTGTTCAGCTGCTTCTTCGGCTCAATATGTAGATCAGACACCCCCTTCTCTCTTTCTCATCTCTCTCCTTTTTTCTTTTTTTTTGTTGGCTACAATTTTGAGCAATCGTCAATTCCCAGCCGTGCGTGCCGGGCCGAACAGTGTGCTTCCGCGAATCGATTCCGGGACCGATTCGATTTTTTTCTTCTTCTCGTCTTCTTCTCTCCGGCGATACGGGTTTCTTAAATGGCGTCGTGGCATCGCGAGAACGGACATGGTGATCTAACGGCACAGTGAGGACACATCTCCATTCCCTCTATTGGTGTCTTGGGGAGTGTTTACTTTAGAGGGGGATTTTCTGGCGTTGTTTTGATGTCGAATAAAATGCTCGTCACTCTGGGCGACTTGTCCAAAGTGGCGCCACTTTTTCGTTGGTTTTGCATGTAATGGGTGATAGTCATGTTGCACATACACGCATCTCAACGGCACTGTAGAGTGGGGACCAGTCGGAACATTCTAAGTTGTTGTAATTGGATACGTGCATGCATGACACAGCACTTTGGTGCCCACAGCTCTTTAAGAAAAAAAGGTGTCCTCTAGATCTACAATTAACAAGACCAGGCAGCCACAGCGAAGCTGGTTCCAGATCTCTCTGTGTCAGCACATTAACTTGCGTCACAGTGGCCATTGA